TCATGACAAACAATGGTTTGGGGAAGTCCTCACTCAATACCTAAAGTTTCCCAAGGCTAAAAAGGTCTGAAAGCCAATCAGGGCTTCATAAAAATATATTTTTTATTTATAAAAATGTGTTTTATTTATATTTGGTTTTCAAAAATTGATTAATTACTAATGCTGCTATTTTGTGAATACAGAATTGTCAGAAGCAATTATTGTGAAAATGGAGCCAAACAGCAGTGTTTACATTGCAGAGTGATATGTCACTAATTCTCATCCAGAGTTTAAATCCAAAGTCTCAACAATATAACATCTACCTTGAAAGGAGCCATTATCTTTTAAGAAAACAGAAAATTAAAAAAAAAAAACACTCACTAGAAAAATTACATAGATGGATTAACTTTTCCCAATGAAATGCTTCTGCTTATTGTACAGTAACAAAGCTAGAACATCTTCAGAAAGCATACATTTCACTTCCAGTTTGGACAACCAGTGAGTTAATAAGTCATGTCCAAACTATGTATTAAAATGCTTATGAAAATCAAGCTTTAACATGTATGTATTTCCAGCTTTCCACAGTTGTGTGGAGACAAAGAGTAAGATCATTGTAAGCAGTGCAAAAATGTGGAGAAGTCACGCGTGCTAGAAACTGAATACAGGATTTTAGGAAATAAAGTAATGATAATTCAAAAAACTAGGAAAAGCTACAGTGTCAGATTCAAGAAGGGTGAGGATGGTAATGCCCATGACTACAGAAGGCAGTGGCACAGACAGCACTGGTCAAACAGAAAATTAATCCAATAGCATCGACCTTTATTCATTCATGTTAAGTCACCTAAAATGATATGTTTGCATTTAAATGTTCATTAATATAAATGGCTGAACAAATCCATTTCAATGGATACTCAATATCCCAGTCACTTCAAAACAGCCTCATGACAACTCCCATACCAAAACAGTAGTTTATTTTGTACATTTTGAGCCGTTATCACTCCCAAGTTATGGTTTCTTCAGCTGTCAAGTGTACAATGTGAAGGTAACTTTTAGTTAGATGGAGCTGCACCTGGCAAATAAATTTCTTAAAACTCCATATACAAGCTCAAAACTGCTGGGGTCCCAAGTCCACCTACGAACCCCAGGGCTGCCAGCATCATGGAGCAGCATATTAAAGCTGCACTATCTGAATAGCTTATTAGTTCTGCACAAGTCAGGTCAAGCAATGTGTCAACCTGTAACAGACTGTGCACTCTAACTGAACATGGCAAAATATTCATTCTTTTGAACTCTACAGTATCATTTGATGTCAAACAACGAAGCAAATCCCAACATATATACAAAAAAACAGCTTCGCATTTACAAAGCTTGTTTCCTATACTGATTAATCCAGACAGCTAACTCATCGGTTTGTGCAACTTTATTGAAGAAAAATAAATCAATTACTAGCAGAGCTGTTACTTGATCACTCATCCATTGACAACTTGCATCATTTATTCAGTGCTATATTAAACAGTGTATTGGAAGCTAGATTAATAGCTCCTAGCCTCCTAACAATTTAAATGAAAATTACAAAATGTTTGAGATCCCATTTTGGAATACAAAGGGTGTTTGACGTCCAATTTCCATTCCCTGGAGAACAAGAACAGGTCATTCCTTCATTGACATGCATAAAATACATCACATTTTTCTGTTCTGCTGATGCTATCAATTGAATACCAATTCTCCAGCCACATCAGTTATGAGCATAAATTATATCATGTAACCTCAGATCTCTAACAGTAGAAGGCTTAAGCAAAAACGGATGCTGCTACAATAATGCTGCTGCCTTTGATGAGACAGCTGCGCACCCAGCTCCCTGCCTTTCAGATGATTTCTTCAGCATTTTAGAGCAATGAGGAATGGTTTTAGTCTCATAACCAAGTTAGAATGAAGATATTGGTCATGCAGTACTCGTGCTCCACTTAAAAAAAAAATCTGAACCGTGGGCAGCTGTTCTCTTATAACTACTTTACAGTTACTGTCCAACGCTGGAAGAACTTAAGCCTTTTCAGATGAACATGTGAATGAATGGAGGGGGTGAACAAAAAAATAAAATTTAAAACATGCGCAATGACAGGGGAGTAGCCAGGTAAGAAAAAAAGAGGAACAGTAATTTAAAGTTTATTCCAGCTGTAACGCAGGTTATTCTGACTTTAAGGTAGCATCGCATGGCATACGTCTGAGTCCATTCCCAAGATAGTCCGTTATACTTGGTTCTATAGATTCGTGCAATCTCTGGCACTAGAGGGTCATCTAGATTTGGATCAAAAAGCAGTGAACAAATGGATAAAAGAACTTTAGAAACAGAGCGGGAGACCACTGTGATCTTAGAGTATTGACACAAATGCTTCCATTTGGATGATAAATCCTTGTTGTAAATGCAACCTTAGGGAGTTTGAAGGGGATAGTCTGTAGGAAAATGAGTTGTCAAAAGGAATGCACCACCTTGACATGGGCTGTCATTAGGTCCCATAACTGTGGCTTGCCAGGGAAACGTATCATCTCCAACTGCACCTGCAGAACATTGTGCTGGAGGGTCACGGGCCAAATCACCAAGCTCCTTGTTCATCTGTTTCAGTGCCATGGTCTGAGCTGTAGTCTGGTTCTTCTCTCCCTCACCTCGGTGTGTGCTCAAAGGTCCGGCCCAAACTCCTGATTATCTGAGCGGCGGGAAAGTATTGTCTCTTGGTCTCACACCGGCTCTGCCAGACACAGCCTCCTTCGTACTAAACAGATCGGAGGTTAGCCTAGGAGGGTGGGGGTCGGAGTGGGTCATAGGCTCTATTTTTGATAATTTTGACATAGTTGATTAGGGTGCAAAGGATCAAGGGTTGCAGGAAGGTGGGTGAGATCATAGTTTCATTTCCACATTCTCTTTTTTTCCTTCCTGCATCTAGGGGAAGAGGGAGATAAAGGGAGAAGCCACACCCAGCCTCCCAACCATCCCAGGGTCCCTGATGTGGAGCATGCTATGCTCTGGCAGTTTTGCTCAAGCAGTTTTGATAGCTCAACAGTTCAGAATTGCTGCTAGTCTCACCATGCCAAGCACGATGAAATCTCTCCAGACTCTACTAGCTGACACAGTCCACTTTACAATCTCTGCCTAGGTATCCACTGCCAACTCTTGGCTAGGGTAATTGATTGGTTTGTTCTGTCCTCCGTTCTCTGTAATGGTACCAGGTATCCTCTGCTGGCTCCAGTGTACTGCCATATCCTCCATGTGCACCTGTATATGCTGTCCACTGCTCCATCTAAGCCACTGAGGAAGCTCAGCTCTGACACATCGCTACACAGTCAGACCATGGAATCTGCAATTTCCTCCATGGTTGGAGTTCTGAGTCCAGAGGTTCAGTTGGGGAAATTTACAAAGACACCTCATCTGAATTGGTCCCAGACCTAATTCCCATGCTTGCCATTATGTACAGCAGACTGGTCTAGTCTGTACCACAGCCCACTCAACTCTCATACATGTCAATGGGCTTTGAAGCCTAGTTCAACCCAACCAGCCCCACTATACCATCCACACTGATGCTGGCAGGTGCCACTCTCTGTCTAGCCATACCTGCCCCTAATCCTGGTTCTCATGTTCACTAGTGGGAGTGGCAACCCAAGAGACAGGTGCCCACTGTTTCCGTACTGAGCCCACTCTGACTCCAGGATCTTACACTCTCCAGGAGGTTCTGCAGTTCAGCGTCGCAGAATTTGCATACTGCCCCCTCTGCATGCCACTGTCTGTGAGCTGATGCTGCGGCAAAGCCCATAGAACCCACACCCACTCTGACTTAACGCATGCACCAGTAGGTACAGTCAACCCAGCCTGGCTTTCCCCCAATCCAGCTCACATACAGGCCAACAGATGTTGCAGCCCTGCCCTGCCTGGTCTGCCCCCGATCCCAGCTCTCACACTCACCAGTGGAAACAGTGGTTCAGCAATGGAGTCCCATGGCATCCCCTACCAGTTCACCCCTTCACTCCCTCCCCTGGGTCTCACATAACACTGATCATTTTTTGAGAAACAATTTCATCTGTCAAATGAAGGAATTACTTTTCATTTTTTGATTTTTTTTTTTTTAAAAACTTTTTGTGGGTTATACTGAGCAAGCCTCCTCACCCTGGGCCCAAGAGCTCACAACCCAGTGAAGCCACCATGTGTCTAGGTGGCATCGCATGTGCAGGCTCACGTGTCTTCTCCTGCCAGCTCCCCCTGACCTCGGGGCTCTACAGGAGCAGGGTTACCCTGAAGTGATCATGAGAAAGTAAGGAGCTTTCTGTAAGTTCCAAGGCTACAGAGTTTTCAGTCACCCACTTGCAGAAGGAAATGCTTCATTTCTTCAAGAGATCCAAGACGGCATCTTTCGCCACCCTGGCAAACAGACAATATTTTCATACCCATTTCTCTGGACAGCACAACAAGGGCTGCTCTGCCCCAGGTGCACACCTGCCTGCCTGGGCAGCTCTGGCGGGTCTCCTCCCAGGATGATGTCCGGTCCTTCCCTCCCTTGTTGTTTGCATTGAGTAGTGCACTGGATGCTGCTCCTTGCACCTTCCCACCAATGAGCATCCATAATTACAAGGATCTCAGGACCACACCTCCTCCTCTGGAAATCCTGTCACTTTGGGTGACCCACACAGTTGCTACGTTTGCCTTTTTTCCTCTTTCTGCTCCAATTTCCAGAAGGCGTCCTTAAAGTAACCTGCAAAAACTTTTTTCCTTGTCCGATCCCTGACATGGGATCTTCGTTTACTACAGCTCTGCTTCACAAGCTGGTGTCTACATCAAATTTCAGAGAGGAGCACCAGGCCATTCATGCCCTCTGCAGACGAAGTGCAGGGAGTGGCCTCACGGCTTGCCCTGGTGCCTCCCCACATACACTGTCCCTGGTCGCGTGAGGAGCGTGAGGGCAAAGGTGAGCGCCGGGAAAGACAGGAATCCACGGGTGGGTGCATGGGCGGAGCTTACCGTACCTTTTGTGCCCTGGGCGGGGACGGTTTTAAACGGTCTCAAAGCGGTCGTTTTAAACGGTTTGTTCTGGAGGCCTCCACTCTTGAGAATTCTGCCCTGGGAGCACGACCAGGGCTGCTGGCTGAGGTGAGCACAAGTTTGTTCTTCGAGGAGGGCCTTGCCACGCAGAGGTGACAGGACCCTGGGGATGCGTGGAGGGGAGGCAGGGCTCCGTCTGAGACTCCAGGCACGTCCAAGTCTTGAAGTGAATGTGAAGGGCACTGTCCGGAGGCGAGGCCTCCCCCACCCGTGCGGGAGCTGCCCGAGGAGCCCGCGCCTTGAGACAGGCCTCTTAGGGACTTACTGGTGTCTGCGCCAGCCTTGAGCTCCCTGGCCCCTTTATCGTTTCTGCTTATCCTGAGGTTTCCTTCCTTCCCTCTTGACCCTCCATCTCTCAGGTAAAGTTCCTGAGGCTGCTGAGGACCCCAAAGGAGAAGCGACCTTGGCCGTGGTGCCAAAGTTGAGGGTCCACCGTGTCTGTGCTTCTCCCTCACGTTCCCGAATTGCTGTTGCTGTCAGGTAGGTTCTCTTGCTTTGTCATCACAGAGTGTCCGTGTGTATGAATGTGAGTGTGTGAGAGTGTGTGTCGGGTGTCGCTTTCCATGAATCTGTGCTGTGCGTGAGCTTTGAGGAACTTACTAGAAGGTGAATGGGATGCCCTCAAGCTATCACCTCCTATCTCCAAAATTGCTGGGTTGTGTGGGAGGCAACCAATGCCTCCCCTCTTTTACAGGCACCATTTTCTTTTTTTTTTTTTTTTTATTGGAAAGGCGGATATACAGAGAGGAGAGACAGAGAGGAAGCTCTTCCATCCGATGATTCACTCCCCAAGTGAGCACAACGGCCGATACCATGCCGGTTCGAAGCCAGGAGCCTCTTCCGGGTCTCCCACGCAGGTGCAGGGTCCCAAGGCTTTGGGCCGTCCTCGACTGCTTTCCCAGGCCACAGGCAGGGAGCTGGAAGGGAAGCGGGGCTGCCGGGATAGAACCGGCGCCCATATGGGATCCTGGGCGTGCAAGGCGAGGACCTTAACCACTGTGCCACCGCACCGGGCCCCCAGGCACCATTTTCAAATACCTGAGACATCTGGACTACTCAAGCCACCCTGCCCTCTCACCTGGGAGAAAATAGCAAATGAAAGCTGGTTTGATGTGTACTGACAAAAGTGATATTTTTTCCTTTAGCAATGTAAAGCAATATGCAGAAAAGTATCTAAAACAAACAAACAAACAAAAGTCCATCTTACCAAACTTCTAGAAATCAACGTAAGAGTTAGGCCAGCCCTGGAGTGTAAGTTGCTTCCAGAAGATTCCAAGATGCCCTTTCTTGTCACATCTCACACACTACCCTGAGCACAGCACCAACTTATCTTCATGATGTTCTGTTGCTTTTATAGTTTATCATTTTCTGCTTTTTGCACCCACAGATCTGGATTTTAATCTACACTCACAAAATTTATTCTCTCACACTTGACTTTCTGTGACATTTATTGAGTAGTCAATAGTTATCTGATAACCCATGGGGTGAGGGGAAATACAGTCTTTGATTTCAGCAATGGACATACGAGTTGTTCCCAGTTTGAGCAGGTATCCTTGGGAAAGTAAGTTACACAAGAAAGGGGGAAACTCCCAGATCCTGTGTTATAGCAGTCCAAGCCTTCATGAGCTAAATACATATATGTATATTGCACAATTTATATGAATGTCATCAAAGGAAAACGAAAAGCACGTCACTGCCCATTAATATCACGGTTTGGGAAAGGGGAAAACTGATTGCATCTAACCCACAAACTAGCAGGTGAGTCTTTGCAGCTAACTTTAGCAAAATTCATATGAAATAGTAATAAGCAGTTATCACCTGTATTTGTTAACTCATAAGGAAATACCTTCAAAATTGCATTGTGTTTCTATACTAAAATACAGAGTGCAGTGGCGTAACAGATTAAGCTGCTGCCCTGTAGTGCCAACATCATAAACAGGCACCAGTTTGAGTCCCAGATGCTCCACTAGTGCCCCTGGGAAAGCAGTGAAGGATGGCTCAACTGCTTAAGGCCCTGCTACCCACATGGGAGACCCAGAGAAGCACCAGGTTCTAGCTTAGGATGTCCTGACTGTTACAGTCATTGCAGAGTGAACTAGCAAATAGATCAATCTCTAATTCTGCCTTCCAAAACGTAAATGTGTATTTTTTTAAGATTTAATTTCTTTTTATTGGAAAGTCAGATATATAGAGAGGAGGAGGGACAGAGAGGAAGATCTTCCATCCAGATTCACTCCCCAAGTGACCTCAACAGCTGGTACTGTGTCGATCCCAAGCCAGGAGACAGGATGTAGGGTCCCCAGGCTTTGGACCATCCTCAACTGCTTTCCCAGGCCACAAGCAGGAAGCTGGATGGGAAATGGGGCTGCTGGGATTAGAACCAGTGCCCATATGGGATCCTGACGCATTCAAGGCAAGGACGTTAGCCTCTAGGCCACCGTGCCAGGCACGTAAACGTGTATTTTAAAAAAAAAAAAAGTTGAAAATCCTTTTGATTTGTATTCCTGGTACCACTAGTACAATTTACAAAGCAATACATCTGATAAAATTAAAACAAACAAAAAGAGAAATAACAGATAAGACCTCAGGAATGTGCATCTGGGCTTCCCACCTGCAAGACAGAGGTTCAACCACCGTGAAAGTGATTTCACTCCCAGGGGCTTTAGCCCAAACCTGCAGCCTGCTGCAGGGGTCCCTTCTGCCTCACTGGCACCCATATGGGGTTCTGATGTGTGCGCAAGGCGAGGACTTTAGCCATTAGGCTACCATATCAGGCCCTCAAATTTTTTCTTTTCGGGCCCGGCAGCATGGCCTAGCGGCTAAAGTCCTCGCCTTGAATGTGCCAGGATCCCTTATGGTCACCGGTTCTAATCCTGGCAGCACCACTTCCCACCCAGCTCCCTGCTTGTGGCCTAGAAAAGCAGTAGAGGACGGCCCAAAGCTTTAGGACCCTGTACCCGTGTGGGAGACCCGGAAGAAGTTCCTGGATCCTGGCTTCAGATCGGCATAGCATCAGCCGTTGTGCTCACTTGGGGATGGAATCAGTGGATGGAATATCTTCCTCTCTGTCTCTCCTCCTCTCTATATCTGACTTTCCAATATAAATAAATCTCAAAAAAAAAAAAAATTCTTTTCAATTCACATTGGTGGAGTCTGCAGATGTGGACATATAGATCCAAATCACTGAACAAATATAAAACACAGAAATGTGCCAGGTGGGCGTGGGGGCTAAAAACCCCAGGACCTGCCGACACGTAGAAGGAGAGACACACCAAGGCCAAATGCAGGAGCGCCAATCTCCAGGCCAGTCAGGCAGAAGGGGGTCCCTCTCTTTGCAGTCATTTAGAAGAGAATCTGCAAATAAAAGATATCTCTCTCGTGCTCGCTCTTGTTCTTTCTCTCCCTCTCAGTCATACCTCTCTGCCTCTTCCTTTCTCTCTGTCCCTCTTCTCCATAGAGTTGCCTTTCTAATATTATTTTTTTTTTAATTCCTGTTGGTGGACATTGTGGCATAGTGAGTTGAGCCATCGCCATGACATCAGCAGCCCGTATCAGCGCCTGGTTCAAGAGCCTGACGCCTGCTTCCGGTCCAGCATCCCTGCTAATGATGGGAGGCACCCGATGATGGCTAGAGCTGTTAGATCTGCTGCCTACTTGGGAGGCCCAAATAGAGGTCCTTGATGCTGACTGCAGCCTGGTCCAGCCCTGGCCATCGCAGGCATTTGGGAACTCCACCAGAAAGAGAAGATAGCTCTGCCTCTGCCTCACTCACTCTCGCTCTCTCTGTCGCCTTCCTCTCCTCTCATCTCTGCCTTCAAATAAATAGATCCTTAAAAAGTTAACAAACCCTATATCAGATAGTTGACAAGTCACTTGTTGCAATGAATGGTCACATTGAAATGTAAAGTCCAAGCGATAGAGAAAACATTCATTGGTATAGATAAAGCCAAATTTAATATACAATTACATTTTGGTCAGTTTTTAAACTATAGAATGCCAGCATCCACAAGTGTTCAAAAGAATTTAATTATAAATTTTTCCATGTATAACAATATAAAAATTGATGTAAGCTAGGATGGGTAATGGATAATAAAAAAAAAAATCCTTTGGAGCTCCAATTAGGTAATGTGAGCAGCTACCATCTCTCTTATTTATTATGATCACTTGCCCAACAGCAGTGAGCAGTGAAATTGGTCTCAAATTCTGATCATGTCTCTTAGTACTCGTTTACAATTATATAAAATCAGGGTCCGTACAATGAGTCTATTAGTTAATCCTCTGCCTGCAAATGCCAGCATGCCATATGGGCACTGGCTCCTGTCCAGGCTACTCTGCTTCCTTTCCAGATCTCTCCTTGTGTCCTGAAAAGGCAGCTGAGGACGGCCCAAAGCCTTGGTTCCCTGCACCCACATGGGAGACCCAAAGGAAGCTCCTGGCTCCTGGCTTCTGGCTCCTGGCTCTTGGCTTCAGATTCAGCTCTACTCCAGCCATTTTGGCCATTTGAAGAGTGAACTAGCAAATGGAAGATTCTCTATATCTCTTATCTATCTCCTTCTCTCTATAAATCTGCCTTTCCAATGAAACTAAACATTTTAAAGATATATGAAACAACAAAACCTAGCCAATGAGAGGTTAAAACTGTGCAGTGAAGCCTGAATATCAATTCTACCAGGCTGGGAACCCATCACCACAACGGTGCTGAGAGCAGGCAACCCGGTGCCGAAACACAGTTGCCTCCGTATTACACCAGAGGGGAAAACTGACGGCTGGTTTTCTTCATTGCAGATATGAACAAGAAGCAAGAAAGCTGGGTCGAGAAAAGCCGTCACACACACAGGGCCACGAGCATGCATTCAGCTTATTCTCCTACCAGCAACTCTCATACCAGCAGAAGGCTCCCTCCATGCTGTGGGGACGGGAACAATGGACCCTCCCTCCCAAGACCGCTTCCTGCCCCTGCTGCTGTGGGGACTGTGGACGCCCGTGTCAATGACCTACACCAGCAGCATCTCCTCGCTCCCGTCCAGAGACCGCGCGGCCTTGGCAGTGTCAATGGCTGCAACAGAGGTGAGCGCCTGCCCCCACCTGACTCTGAGCATTAATGAGAGGATGTTCAGGGCTGCCTGTGGAGCAGCTGTTGTGTATACATTTCTCACTTGTCCAACAGGGGCCATACTCCTCATCCATAAACTTCCTCATCCTCCATGCCTACCTCCAAGAACTGTGTGTTCACAACACCATGTTCTTCTACATCCCTGCCATGCACCAGGACTTGGACCTCCTGGTTACCACCACCTACCTGGACCTCACAGAGAGCCACTACCGCAGAGAGACACTTGGTCTCTGGAGCGTCGCCCTCTCTCTTATTACCTAGAAAATAAGCATCGTTGCTATGAACAGATCCAGCGGACAGCTTCTTAACCAGCTGGCTAGGGTCAGGGCTACTGAGGAACCTGGAGGATGTTCTTTGTTTCCAAGTGGCTGAGGCGGGAAGCATACAGCATTCACTTCATGGGGTGGAGGTTCTGGGGAGGGGGTGGCGCTGAGACAAGCATTTGGCAGTTTGAACTGCAGACCATGGAGCCCGACAGCTGGCTTGTCTTCCACAAACAGCTCAGCAACTCACGCATCGTCTAACACAACAAAAAACGAGATGTGTGCAGCTCATAAGGAGCAGAAAGGCACATCCCTTCATCCTTTTAAGATTTATTTATTTGAAAGGCAGATTTACGAAGAGAGAGAAGACTTTTATCCACTGTTTCATTCCCAAAATGGCCACAATGATTGGAGCTGATCTGGTCAAAAGCCAGGAGCTAAGAAACTCCTCCAGCTCTCCCACAGGAGCCTTGCAGGAGCCCAAGGCTTTGAGCCATCCTCTGCTCTTTCCCAGGCCATAAGCAGGGGGCTGGAATGGGAAGTAGAGCAGCCTGGACACAGACCAGCACTGGAAGACGGAGGATTAACCTGTTGAGTCACCACATTGACCACCCATTCGTTCTTTTGAACTTCAGATGTCTTTTCTTTTGGCCATCTTATTCGTGGGAATGTTAAATGTTGACCTAGACAGGCCAGCTCTTCGGCTCCATGGTCCACACTGTGCCGGGGTTGAACTATCTGCTCGGTGCTACCCGCCGACTACACCGATCAGCAAGAGCCCTGTGTCTCTAACACTGTTCATACTAGCTCACACT